GCCGAGAAAGTTCATCCAGATTTTCCGGCGTGGTTCTCCCTTGTCAGTGATGCAGGACGGAGGGGCTGACAAGGAAAGCTGTCTAGTCGTTCGGATGGGACGAAAAACCGAGGTCCCGTGTACACATTGGCGTGCATGTAAAAGATCCCTCGGCAGTTGGAATTCGATATAAGAGTAGGCCGTAGTGCCGCTGTCCGGGCAAAATTTCCCTCATAGCACACTGTATGGCGTATGCCCGTCTTCATTAGCCCAGGTTAGGAGCAGAAAAGTAGGACGTTAAACTCCATTTCATTTCATTTCTTTGTAAAAACAAATTATTTGGAAGTGCATGCATGAGATAAAAGACTCATTATTTATCTAATCATTACATAAAAGTGCAGAAATCTCTAAGGCCTTAATGTGTAAAAAACACCGGGTTTACAACTGGCTTAAATTCTCATAAAATATATCTACTTTTATTTTCTACATTCATATACCGGTACTACAAAATACTGTTAAAACATGAAATTAGATGTGTACAGAAAGTCAATGACAAAATTACGAATGACTTAACTTCGGGCATGTCAACATCATTCTCGCAATGAGAGTTTTGATCCAATTCTAACTTTGACCTGTCAACATTTTATGTTAACGAAAAAAACATCAACAAGGAAGGATAAAATTACCTAAAACAATGGCTTGTATATTACAATCAAGTCTTAAAGGGGGAGAGAGAGAGAGAGAGAAATGGGGTTTAACGTCCAATCGACACAAACTAGGTCATTTCGGGACTAACACATGGTTCAATTTTATTTCATTAATTCGTTTGCGCGTAGGGGTCTTTAGCAGTGGGAGGAAACCGAAGGACCCGGAGAAAACCCATGAGATTGGACAGGCGACCCTACTCCTTGTCACGTACAACCGGGGAATCGAAACCACACCAGTTGACTCAATGACAGACCTTCTGATTCAACGCACATGTTCTAACCATTCGGCCATCCAACATCCCAAGTCTTAAAGGAGGAAGAAGCATGATTTAGGCCGAAATCAGTGGACTGATCAGAAACCAAACTGGTTGATTTCATGAGTTATTTGATAGTGGTTTATGGATCTATATGACTACAGTAATGTTTGATCTTTAAAAATTACCAGGTAAACAAAATAAAACTTGGTTATAATTAACATTGACTTAAAGAATGAACATGGAAGATGAAATCTAATAATTGTCCCAGTAATTAAATTGACTTTCATTTTAAAACCAAATTTAAGTACCGGTAGTCCTGTTTCTCGTAGTTACATCTACAAGTATATACGTCCTATTTCATTTCAAATCTGACATATGGCAAGCCTGGAAATAAAGCTCCGGTCATACACAATGTCCGGCACAAATTCAGGATGTCAGGCACAATGGCTCTGGTGCCTGTCATCTTGTCTAGAACAGATTTGTCTCATTTTAGTGTTTTTACTGATTAATTAATACATGTCCGGCCTAATATATCAGGTAGTAGTTCATATTAGTGCCCGACATATTGTCGGGTACAAAATAAAATGTTGTTTAACGTCCTAATTTTCTGCTCCTATGAGGGGAATTTTGCCCAGACAGCAGCGCTATGGCCTACTTTTTTTTTATCAAATTCCAACTGTCCAGGATTTTTTTTACATGCACGGCAATGTATACACGGACCATGTTTTTTTGGGTTTTTTTGTCCCTAACCAAAACCTCCGCCCTACATCAAAGACAAGGCGGAAACATGCCGGAAAATCTTTCTCGGTGAAGGCAGGGATCAAACATGGACCCTCCAGGTTAGCGCACCTACTTCTTACTCACTGAGCCACTGTGGCTTGTCCAGTACAAGTCAAATCTTTATTTCCAAGCCCGGACATATGTCTTGTCTATTTTCACCACAAACATGGACTGTTAAATGTTTGTAAACAAACAATATATATATATATATATATATAGATGAGAGAAACATTCATGAATATATATGGGGAGACGCACTTCAAACTTTTCCATTGTTTGTCCATATGAAAAAATATTACAAAGTGTAAAAATAAGACTATAATTTTCAAGCTATTTTTCTACCCTAATACATACAATTATAAAATATTTCATTGTTCAATTTAATTATAATATACATATATAACCACAGATATATATAGATGTTCAACAAAACAAAATAATATACTCTTCAAAATACATACAGTTTCTTTGTTGTCTTTCATATAAATCATCACTATACCCTAACATATTCAACTGGTTAAATTCATGTAACTTGACATCAAATGAAATCAAATGAGGTTTAATGTCCTACTGTTCTGCTCCAACTGGGATAATAAAAAAAGACGGCCATACAGTATGCTATGAGGGAAATTAGGCACGGGCAGCAATCCTTTTGGCCTACTCATATATCGAATTCCAACTGCCAAGGGATCTTTTACGTGCGCACCAATGTGTACACAGGTCCTCGGTTTTGTAACTTTACACCAATTTCTTATCTTGTAGTTACATGTATATATGGTGAAACTGATTGTGATTGCCCTTAAAGACAAATGATATACAGTAAGGCCATCGTGCATTTTTCACAGCATAAATAGTTAAGAACAGAACCTAACAGTTGGATTAATCTCATTCTCAAATAAAATACAATTCGTTGTCCAGCAACACAAATTATTTTTCTAACGTAACCATTGTAGGCTTTATTTACCTATACAGGCAATATAATCTAATTCATTTAATAGAAAAGCACTAAATTTAAAAGAAAGAATCATAAATTTAGGACTTTGGAAAGTTCCAAATATTTGTAAATAAAACTTCCGGTCATATCCAGTGCTCTTACTTAAAAGTCGTATTTTATTTTTTCATGATTTTTTGTAAATATGAAAATTTCAGAACTGAACTATTTAAACTATTTTGATTTTAACCTTGATATTGAACAATAAATAAGTACAGACAATAATGGCTGTAAATATGAGAACAGCTGTCATATCAGACAAGCTTAATGCAAGTAGTAAACAACCATTTATATATTTGAGAATAGCAAATAGTTATTGCAATAGCATAAACGCTTATGGATTAATAAAAAAGTTTTCAAAAAAACCAACACATCACCGGGTATTATTAATTGATCATATACCAAGGACTAAAAAATTACCGTTTATGTTGTTATTTCTCAGCTTTTAATCATAAAATGCATATCAATTTAGAAGTTTAAAGTTCTGACCCTGGTTTCACTAAGCATTCTTAGATTTTACTCAACTTCCAATCAGTGTTTGTGAGAAATATCTTTGATCCAGAAACCCAAATGTTTGCACATAGGTTCTTATTGATGTATTTGATACATTAATACAACAAAAGTTTTAAAAAGGGCTGTATTTTAGTTAAAATATTGAGTAAATTCTTAAATTAAGTGTGAGAATGTTTTGTGAAATTGGGGACCCACTGTTTATGTTCTACTTACTGTAATCAAACATTATTTCAGTAGGTATTTAAGTATTAAAGAGTTTTATACATTAAATTGAGAAATGTTGAGGTTTGTAAGATTCATTAAGAGAGAGAGAGAGAAATGGGGTTTAACGTCCACTCGACACAGACTAGGTCATTTTGGGACTAACATATGGTTTAATTTAATTTTAATAATTCGCTTGCACACAGGGGATTTTAGCAGTGGGAAGAAACCGGAGGACCTGGAGAAAACCCACGAGGTTGGACAGGCAACCCTACTCCTTGTCACGTACAACCGGGGATTTGAAACCACGCCAGTTGACAGATTCATTAAGACTGTAAATGACCATATATAGCATATTTTAACTCCATATAAAGACTGTAAATGACCATATTTATTTTACCAGTCAACTTACCCAATCAACTATACTAATCCTAACTAAATGTTATTTTCTTCCTGTTAACTATAACCAAGATGAAGAGGACTACACAACCTTAACAAAAATATTCAACAAAATATTGGTATGATTTTAAATAGACACTCCCACCCCTTTCTTAATCTCAAGGTGTGAAATTTGATGATGTTTGAGCTAGCCCCTAAACTTACATCATATTGCCATGTATATACATAATTTAAACAACATTCTTTTTACATGTTTAGAAATAATAAAGTTCTTCATCCTATCGTAGATTCAAACATTATCATATATAAAAAGCACTTTTTGATGCCATGTCTAAATAATTAATAACAAATAACATTATTAAAATATGTAAATTGGTTTTTTTTTTTACCAAAAAACAAAAAAATAAACAAAGCTTTTCTCATTAGAGTAGCCATGAAAACAATGGGGGGTGCTTGTTGCTTTTAATCATCAGTATAATGATGTACCTGAATTCAATAACTTCAAGTTGCATTATTCAAGAGCTAAAGATGCATTATTCAAGAGCTAAATCTGCCTAATGCAGATCTTTCGTCTGGTCTCAAATGTTATATAAATCATTAATTAGACATTTATTGACATGCCAGACATATAATCAACACTCTAGAACTTCGGATGAGTTTGATTTTCAATAAATTTAAATACGATTGGCAGTTAATGATTTAATTTAAAAATGGATAACCAAGACTTTGTTATTATTGCAACAACTTTTTCAATGACAATCAAGACTACACTGTTTAGCAAATGATGACTCCAAGCACCCCCTCGTTTACTCTGGCTACTCTACTGATTCAAATACTGATTAATTGGGAAAATATTGGTAGATATATCATATTCTTTCGAGAACGATCATATTCACTTTCCACACCAAAATATATAGATATCAATTAATATACAAAATGATGAAAACACAAATAAACAAAAATTAAAATGACTAAAATTTCACCAAACAAAATAATAACACAGCTAACATGTTTTTTTTTTTATAAACAAAATAATTCCATCATATGAGTACATGACGTATTTCAAGTATTATAATATTATAATAATTAATATGTAAGTTTTTTTTATCAGTTTAAATGTAAAATATAAATTCTGATCTCGGATTAAACAAATCTAATTCAGACAATTTCTAATTACATGTAGTAGGAACTTTGATATTGGTAAACATAAATATCAAGCTTATTCAAAGTTTAAAATCCTTCCACCCAGCAAAAATAATTTCACATAAATTGCAATTTATCTCAAATTTCAAAACATAAACTTTGAACCATTCTGAAATTTTACAACTGAAAATATAAACATTATCTGGTCAGTAATTCCATATACTGTTATGTTTAAGCAAACTCTAATTTTTTTATTTGCACTTTAATTTTATAAATTGTTTATTATTGAACAGTTCATTTTTTATAAATGTTCATGTCCATTACTCAACTATCAGTTTAAGAACTGTCCATTTATGAACTGTCCAATAATAAACTATCCATTTATGAACCATATCTTAAGAATGGACCAAATCAAAACAGTTTTCATGGACATATAAATGTTTACCTGGTATCTATTTTGCACCCAAAACTGGCATAAACAACCTGACCTGTTAAAAAATGTCAGACTTATTTTGTACATTTGAAAATGATAAGACATCAAATTAGGCGTATGTCAGACTGACAAAGAGCCAAGTACTATTAATAACCCAATCTTAATTAAAAAAAAACCTACATGTATGTTTCTGAAGAACATATTACAAAGATAACGGGGAGAAAATTTTAAAAAATCCATTCCAGATACCAGTATAGAATTAATTGTCATGAAAGGCTTTCCATTACAGCAAAGCTCTATTTCGATTATGATGTCGTAATGAATTTTTATACATTTAACTTAATAACAAGATAAATGAAGCGAACGGTTTTTCATCATGCAATTTTTCCATGTAACAATCTCTGATGTATTATGTAATCAGAAGCCATGATTTATCAATACTTTGTCTCACATGTATTTCTCAGAACATATGTGTTCAAGAATGATAGAAATGATCAATCAACTATGGAAAATCTATGTAGTGTAAGTCTACATGTATATGAAACTATGTAACGAGGAATGATAAAATAGCTGTTATATACACAATGATAATTGCCTAAATATTACTACTAGTATTATCGGAACTTATAGTACACTTCTTTAAACTCTCCGCATCAAAACCTGGTGTCAAAGGTCGGCTAGCGGTCGCCGGCTCTGTTGACTCTGTAAAAGCATCATCTGCAAATGAATCGCGCTGAGAATTATGGTCCTCCGAATCCACACTTTCGTAGCTTGTTGTTGACCAGTTGCGTGATTTACGATAACCCATGAAGGGGTCAAACGTACGATCACACGGCACATTTTGTAAATGCACATCTGACATATCACCAATATCAGAGGGGTCACTTTTACACGTCCAAGGCATCATAGGTCCTAAGTGTTCCAAAACATTAACAGGATCTTTGCGACCAACTTTTTGTTGTCCTGACTCTGATTCTATGCTATCCATACTGGAAGCGGAACAAGTTCGTGTTGAATGTTGTGAATCGGTTGTATCCGTACTCGATACAGAACTCTTTCGTATATCAGTCTCCGTGTCGGGAACAGCCAAGAAGCGTCCGCGTTTCGTGGAGCGTTTAGTATGAGTTCTCATGTGTCTTGTGATCATATCACGTCTACAAGCAGCATACGGACACTGTGGACATCGATAAGGCTTTTCGCCAGTGTGTGTACGTTTATGTGTGTTTAGATGATCACTGCGACTAAAAACCTGGCCGCAGTCCCCACATTCATACGGTTTCAAGCCTGTATGTAACCTCATATGTCGTGTCAACATATCACTACGTGAAAACGATCTATTACAAACCTTACAGTAATGTATTTTGTTATTGTCTGCTGAACGTATAGTTTCTGTTGGTAAATGTTTCGCCATATGTTTCGCCAAGTTATCATACGAAGGGAACACTTGACCACAAACCGGGCACAAATATGTGACATCTGATTCCGATAGGGACCGTTTCTCGAACATTCCAGCTTTAGGTTCCTCCTTAATGCGCTGACTGAAATGTTTAGCTCGATACTGTGTATACTGTAATGGACTAGTTGGATACAAAGCACGTGGTGAGACTGCCAAGCGATTTACCTCCGACATGGGTGTTAAAATGTTACTGTGTGGAGGAAAAGTAAAATAGCGTGGAGACATTGGACTCGGAGAGAGGAGATCAGAGTCTGAGTGAGGTCCTTCATATGGACTGGGCATGCTAAACGTAAAAATCCTTCCCCCTTCTGGCACAGAACATAGTGGCGACTGTGGGGAAAGAAGTCCATGAGGGGAATAAGGAATTCGATGTGGTGACCGATAAGTCATCGGAGAAAATTGCTTCGTTGCTGTGGGACTCAATTCGGGTTCTTGTATCTGGTGTGGAGACAGACTCTGGCTTGTTGAGAGATCAAGGGGTTCATTCTGTTGAAGACAAGGGGGCTTAGATCGCTTAGTGCCAACAGCTGGGGGTGATGGTTCCATGAAAACATCATCTGGTGTATCAGAACGTGAATCACTTGGCTGACGTCTCATGGATGGTTCCGTTTCAGAAGACGACTCTCTTATCCAAGATGGTGACCTGGACTGAGGAGCAGCACAAGATACAGATGAGTCAGACAACCTAGTTAAACCAGCTTGCTCAGGACAATCTTGCAACATACTTGTAACATACCTTTCATGTAATCTTTTCTTAAACTTCGCATGATGCGAAGGCTTTTCGTCTTCAACAGGATCACAAGACTCTTCTGTTTTAATTTTAGTTACATCTTTTTCATCACTATCAGAATTTCCAGAAGAGGTATGTGGAGGGGGTACAAGCAACTCTAGACTAGGTGAATGGGTTCCTTCTTCGTAACCAGTGAAAGGGGACATCTCTCGACTACTGCTACTGCCTTCAATATTACTAGATGACGTGTCCGAAAACTTATCGGCGAAATAACTATCCTCACTTTCTCTGGCCCACAAAAGAGGTTTCTCTCTTTTAATAACCATAGTGTCAGGAAGGGACTCTGATCTCTCTTTTCCTTTTATGTCTGATGCTCCTGGTCCACGAATGTCACTAAAAGTTGGATGCTGTAATCTTGGGGCTACCATTTCACGTTTTCTGGGCGAATGTGGAGTCACCTCGCGAGGGTCTGGAGTTAGAGGTTTGGGATGAGATCCTGCTGGATGTAGCCAAAATGTTGGATTAGCTTCTCTAAGATGTCCTTCCAGTAGCCGTGTCTCTTGTTCAGCTGGCCAAGCAACATGATGCTGCTGCTGGTGTTGCTGCTGTTGGTGTTGCTGCTGCTGCTGGTGACAGCCTGCTCCTGTTGCTTGTTCTTCAATGTAAGCCAACTGCTCTATGGATTGTTGCTCCTTGGAGCTTGGGTCTTGGTGTCCCATCATTTTATGTGGAGGTTCCAAAATTATGATGTCTAATTAGATTCAAGGATGTTGTCAACAGATGAAAATCTTTCATTTTGTATCAAAACCTGAAAAAGAGAAAAGATTGTTGAGCAAAGAGAAAAACAACACCAATAACTGACAGCCATCGAAAAACATGCAAACTATCACTACATTTGTCATCCTAGCTGTCCACATCATGTTACACTGTGATGGAGGATGCACGAAAAATAAAAACAATCTTTTTGGTCTGTAGAACATTTACAAGTGAAGGAATCAATGATGGCAAATAATTCAACAAAAAATCAATGTCAGATTCTCAATTTTGATCATGTTTCTCCTTATGAATTTGTCTTTTTAAAGATAATTTGTCTGGAAACAAAATATACACCCACAGTGATTATGTTATATAAGCAGTCCATAATGTCCGTAACATTTTGATTCTTTAAAAGTAACATTTACAAGATACATGTACATGTATTCAAAAAGAGTTTGTGGGAAATAACACATTATAAGTAATCCTCTGAAATTTATAGACATTTTTATCTAACATAAATAATACATACAATTTGTGGACAACTTACAGGCAGGCACAACACTATATACAATTATATAAAAATTGTATATGATTTACCAAAAAAGTCAATTTTAAAAGGTTAAATTTTTAACTGTTAAAACTGTTCATAAAATCTTTGAACATCCACAAATCTGGCAAGGCAATTTTTCCGTCAGGCACACCTCTTTATACAACTATATAAAATTGCATATGGTTTACCAAAAAAGTCAAATTTTCAAAAGCTAAAATGTTTAACTGTTAACACTGACGAACCAATACAAAATCTTTGAACATCCACAAATATAGCCAGTGAATTTTTCTGTCAGACACAATGCCATATAGAATTATATAAGAAGTTCACTTCAAAAGGCTAAAATTTGTAACTGTTAACACTGACGTACTAACACAAGGCATCCCAAAAACCCACCTCATTGTTACCATCACCTTTGTTAATAATGAGAATGTGGACAAGCCCTGCGTCATCAATTTTTCCATAAAGGCACGACTCTTTATAAACTATATAAAATTATATATGGTTTACCAAAAAGTCAACATTAAAACTGTTAACACTGACGCATTAACACAAAGCATCCCTAAAAATAAAATCCCACTCATTGCTACGGTTATCGTTGTTAATGAAGAGAATGTGAACAAGCCCTGCGTCATCAATGTTCAATCTACGTAATTAACAGTTATATAAGCTCAAACCCACACCATTAACCATCTTGGTTTAATTTTTCTTATTACAGTATTATATAATATACTGTATTGTTTATAAGGCTTATATTATCATCTCATAATTATAGAAAAGAAATCAGTGTTTTAGATCATATCAACAGAATACAGACATTTTTATGTCTAACATTTATGGTAATGTTATTTTCTATGGTTAAAGTATACTGCTTTATGAGAATGGAGGATTTCGTCCAGCCCCAGAGAGTGGCAGAACGGAAATGAGTATTTCAAGTGCCATCAAAACAATATAGCCATTTTTATGTTTAACATATATGGTAATGTTATCTGCTAAGGTTTTACATTTAAGAATGCAATGTGAGAATTTTGCCCAGGCCCACACAGTGGCAGTTCAAACATCTAATTCCTGCCGTTTTACATCTACAATGCAAGGCCAAACCAATTGTTCAAGGATATGATAAATAAAAATCCACTGAAATCACATGAAAAATGTTTTATTTTGAATTTCAAATCATGAAAATGTGGTACAAAAAGCTTTTGAGAAGAGCAGCAACGTATTTTTGGTTTTTGAATTGCTGTATTTGCCCCTAGAAAGATAGGTTGCTAGGCAACGAATCCTATACGCCCACAGCAGCTAAATCGTCTGAGCGGTCGACAAGGGCTGTCGCATATTTATTCCTTTGTAGGTAATTGGGGGCCTTTACAAGACAGTTCCATACAGATCAGATTATAAATTTTGTCATTTGAGGGTTTACAAGGTTCTACAAACTGAAACAAGGGTCTCAACTTGTTTGAATTGAAATCACAAGGAGATTGTATGAAGTCGTAACAACATATGAAGGGGACATGGGACTAGTCCCTAGAGATTGTCTATTTTACATGATAACACTATCATTAAAGTGATAATTGCATTTTTTAAAGCCATATGTTTAAAATAGGCTAAAATAAAGCCTTAAAATACATGGTATCTATACACACAATAATCCTAAATCCTATAATTGAGAAATTGGCAAATATATTTTCTTTTTAAATCCAACGCAGACTTTTACAGTGGTATTATCACTCAACCAGGCATCATTATCCTTATCTGTTTAACAACGGACTTTGACAATCAAGTCAACTCTCTCTTTCATTATCTAGACTTAGTTATCCAAGGACAAGAAATGATAGAATTTCAAAATACTGTCAGCAAGTAGAAATTATTTCCGATTTTTATGTGAATGTTTTTAAGTGATAGAATGATTCCTATGACTGTATATTAGTGATTTGACAACCAATTTTAAAGTAATAGATATAGAAATAATTATGTTTATACTTTCTTAGAAAATATGCAATTTTCACTTTAAAGCAATAGATGGGAAAATAATAAATGGCTCGGCTTCTAAAATACAACACAAATATTCCTCGATAACTGTCGTTACTAGACTGAACAAATCACAAGATTCCATAAAGTGAAAAAGGCCATAATTTTAGACATAATGAACAGAAACTGCTAATATTTAAAAGACATTTTCATGTCATTAATTTGTATAATTAAGTTTTATCAATTACAAATTGATCAGAAGATGATTTGATGGTTTTCTTTGGGCCATAATAATCTGAACAATCTATATTAATTTCAAGAAGATTGGATAATAAGTTTTGTCGCTAGAGCATTCATTGGGTATTTAAAACTGAACTTATAAGAAAAAGCCGAAAATTATTGAACATCTTTGTCTCACTGATGTCCAAAACACCGAAAACTGAAAATCATTGGACATCTTTGTCTCACTGATGTCCAAAACACAAATAAATTTTATTTTACAAAAATCCGATGATAAATCATGTACGATAATCTGTAAAGAGGTGACAAGAGACGAGAACAACATATGGCCAGGTTTTAACGTGGGCGAAATAAAAGCTGTTATTTAAGATTTGTTATATAGTTTTAAATTAATTATTCCTCTTTATGTACTAATGCTTTGAATTTCATCATTTCTTATACTACAAAGCTGGATTAACAGCATCCTGAACAAATCCAGTACAAAATATAAGATTAAACAAAGTTGGATTGTGGACAGGAGTGGGGATTAATTATCATGATAATCTTAACTTAATATATTTTACATAATCCATGTTTAAGAGAGGGAGAGAGAGGGAGAGATTAACGTCCGCTAGACTCAAACTAGGTCATTTCCGGGATAACACATAGTTCAATTTTATTTCATTAATTTGACCAAGAGAATTTAACATATGTTCAATTTTATTTAAATATTTTGCCTGTATAGTGGGAGCAAACCAGAGGACCTGGAGAAAACCAATGTGGTTGATCAGTCAACCCAACTCCTTGTCATGTACAAGCAGGGTATCAAACCCACGCCACTTGACTCAATGAAAGGCTTTATAATCTAAAGCACACATCTTAAACAATTCGGCCACCCAACCCCTGTTTATAAGTTGGCATGTAAGTAAATAAACTCTTGACAGTTGGAAATTGATATAAGAGTAGGGTGTAGGACTGCTTTCCTGACAAAATTTCCCTCATAGCACACTGCATGGCATAATTAAGCTTGTCTCCATTAGCCCAGCCGGTGCAGAAAAGTAGGACATTACTGATTAAACCCCCTTTCATTTCATTTCATAACCATAGAATATAAATTACATTACGTTAGTCTAAAAAAAAAAAACCCATAAAATTAAGTAATATTGACCATTACATTTTAAATAAAAAATAATCATATTTTACCTTCCATTTTCACTAAATAACTGAATCAAAGAGTAAATTGGAAAGCAGTCTATCTTCTGGTCAACAACTACATTACTAATAGTAAAGGAGTAAATTAGAAAGCAGTCTATCTTCTGGTTAACATCTACATTACTAATAGTAAACGAGTTATCACTTTTAAGGGTAGAATTCTCAAACCCATGTAAACCACTCCCACTCCCATGAAGGAATTATAAAACAACACTATTTCTGCCCACAACTTACAAATTATCTTATTTTGTACAAATAACTGATAATTAGAGAGCCATGTTTATCACACATACAGTATATCCCAATATAGTTTCTTTCATGAGATACAGATCAAAGATAGCATTGTAAAGCACATCTCAACTGCAGCTTATCCAAAAGAAAAACTTTGATGTTGAGCAAATTAGATAAGTACCTAGTATTGAAAAAAGAATTCTGTTAAAATTATCACGTTCACAAGGTATTCAGCAAAAGGTGGATAACTCTGGAACATGAAGCCATATAATCAATCATATGGTTCCTCCTCTTATGACCAGGTAGTATTTAATACAGCCATTCACCCAATATTAAGGGGTAGACTTACACCATAACTGGGCAGCCAAGATGGATTATCTAAAGTAAGTTAACAATGGTCATATTCTCATGATAACAATGCTACACAACAAACTTGAAATGTGGGCATATAAAAAAATCAAAGATGAAAATAGGGATTAAACAGAGACAATAGAATTAATAATTAAATTAAAGATGTATTAGGTAAGATTAGATAAATCGATGACAGCTCTCACAATAATAGTTAAAAATTAGATAAGGAAAAGGGAATAACTTGAAAATTTCAGTCAAATTACTTCATTCTGAGCAGATGTTACGGCTGTTTGTAGAATAGCTGAGCCTTGATTGTCATTGCTACTGATGTTACGATAGTAAACCAAGTCCCGATTATCCATTTTCTAATTAAATCCAGTAACTTCCAAACTTCTTTAAATCAATTGAAAATCTAGATGGCATCGACAGTTGATTATGGTCTTGATAAGTTAGTAATTTCTAATTTATAATTTAGATAACATTTAAGGCCTAAACAAAGACCTGCAATTGGCAGATTTAGCACTTGCATAATGCAGCTTTAATTACATGATGTAATGTGGAAAATCCAACCAACTATATGGAGATCTAGATAAATCCTTGTAGAATTAGGAAGCACTCATTAACACCATAAAATGGTTATGTCAGGTATTTAGATACCGGCAGGCAAGGCTCTACACAGCATTTTGAACTTACTTGTGCAAACATAAGTAAATTTTCAAAACCACTAGCCAAACAAAATTTTCAGTTGCCAAGTCTGAAGATTAGAATAATTTGTCGTATGATATAGCTAAATTATATTGTGAACATACATAACTCGTCGTCCTATATTAATAAAAAAAAGATGTTTTAAACATTTTTTTCCGACTGGGACTCACTGCGAGACTAAGACGGCGGTCGACGAAGCTTGTAATTTTGCTTGTTTGGGTGGTGTAGCGTCAGTAGCATGACTATCATCATTTTTCCCCAACTGAGACTCACTGCGAGACGAAGTTACTTTACTAGTAAAGTAAGACGATATAGGTTTGATTCGTCTGCTAGCCATGCTGTCAGCTGTCTCGCAAACTTCCAATAAATACAGCGCATGCGCAATGAGAATTTCCTCGCAGAGGACAATGAGATTGACCCAATTTCAAACCAGGAAAGTAACAAGAGTGACATTTGACTGGGATCATTGCCGATTACGTTATCTTTACGGAGAAAAGTTCAGATAGCTATAGTGTTAATTGGGGACTTCAAGATATATGTTCACTCGCCAGAAACCTAGCATTTATAAATATCTGGTCGCCATTGTAGAGCCTTGCCGGCAGGTATGAAGAGAGACTGTCGTCATAGACATTCTCAAGTTCTTGCATTTGGTAAAACTCATTAACACCATAAAATAGTTAAGTGAGTTATTTAAATACCAGCAGGTATGAAGAGACTGTCGTCATAAACATTTTCAAGTTCTCACACAACCTCTACCTAAAATCTCACACATCACAGACTACAATATTTCTCGATGCATCTTTGCATTTTTCATTGAAACATCAAATTTCTTTATCCATGTTAAAGTAGCTAAGTCTCTAACTCAATATCATTCGAAGTCTTCCGACATTGAAAACACGAATTATTTGTCAATTTAAATCAACATTGATGTTGTGATCTTACCGGGAAAAAATGGGCTTCTGATAACCAATATTTAGGACAAAATAAACATTTTACCATTGGTACACGAAACTTTTGCAATAATGAGTTTCAGCGCCATTTGTAACACGGGACTCGAAGAACGAGGTTAGACATATTCCACAAGTCATGTCTATCGGTGTAGACTGGAATAACCAGACACTAGAGATTGCCATTGGATTGAGACTTCTGGCGTATTTCGCCGAACATAACTGATTTGAAATTTGGGTAAAAACTGAAATGATTGAATGTAAATCAGTTTATATACATTCATATTACATTATTATATGCGTTGCTACCCATTTGTGTCAATTTCTAGATACCAAATATTAGTGACTTAGCTCCTTTAATATGTACTCAGATTAATTATTCAACATTTAATTAAAGATACATTATGGGAGATTCGATAACGAGTTGGCAGTTCTCACTATAATAGTTAAAATCTAGATAACATAAAGGCAATTTGCTGAAAATTTCATTCAAATTGATCCACTATGAACCGAAAACTAAGCGAATAAAATTTCTGCCTAGCCTCGGTCATCATTACTAAAGTCAGTATGTTAAACAGCATAGTCTCGATTATCCATTTAATCGTTTAATCGAGAAGGAAAGTTATGCAGTAAATCGGATCACAATCCACTTAAGATCGCAGGCTAGCGATGCCATCTAGAGTTGATTATGGTCTGGATAAGTTAATTAATGTCTAATTAATAATTTAGATAACATTTAAGGCCTAAAGAAAGACCTGCAATAGACAGATTTAGCTCTTGCATAATGTATGTTTAAGAAAACAAAAATCAAAATATCAACGCTAGATAATCTCCCAGGTTAGATTCAATCGGATTTAAAACAAGCCTATCAAATCCATTTGTCTTCAACAATATGGCGACGGGCTTATACGTTTGATGGAATTTCAATTCAACACATCTTTCGACTGATATTCCTATTAGAGATTCACATTTCACATGGATTCCTATTGCGCTAAAACGAGGCAATGTGACTTTAAATCACCATTTAATAAATTAATTTCATTCACATCAAATTAAAAGTGTTTTTCAAACTATATTTTAAGATATTGGACTATGAACTTAAATCAGTATAGGGACCAATATAGATACAAACACCTACACATATATCAAATGTTCAAATCATGACTTGTTAATTATACTGTATATGGATACGTTACTATAAACTGTGATAATTTCAGTTCTATGATACCTGATATATTTCTTATTTCTTACGCTTAATAATATTTTCTACAATAAATTTTTTTTTCTTATACTACATGTAAGTATTTCTTATTTCTTGTGCTAAATTAAATATTTATTTCTTATGCTAAATTTTATTTATCATAAGCATTTATATAGCACCATTTCCACAAAAGTGCTCAATGACGCTTTACAATAAACATACTTTGATATTAAAAAAGATAGGTTGCCAGGCAACGAAACATACGCCCACAGCAGCTAAGTCGTCCGAGGAGTCAATAAGAGTTGTCACATATTTTTTCTATTGTCCGTAATGGAACATTTATAATACACTAAAATCTGATTTTAAGAGTAACAACTCATTAAGTAATTATCATAGAATCAGTAGAATTGGCTTGGCTTCTAGTTCTGCCCCATGCTAAAGTTAAGTATAGCTGTTCAAGTTATCAAAATTCAATGAAAATCAGTATACTTGTTCATCTCAAGACCTTAAACACAGTGTATCAATCTAAAGTCAATCAGATGATAATTTTGGTCTCTAGAGCATCCACAAGATTTTTCAAAGTGATCATGGGCCATAATAGTAATTATTGAAAATCACTGGGCTTCTTCGTATCACGACCATAAACACTGTTTAAATTTAAAATCAATCGGATATTAACTTTTAGAGCGGGAGCCCAGGGGGTTAACCTAGCTGAAAAGTGTACCAATTTTCTCCTATATGGTATCAATGTATGTATATCTGGTATCATCAAAATGTAAGTCTGGCGGGTTTCTGGTGGTGGATGTGGTATTCCACACCCAAAATGCCATGCCCCTCAACTAGTCTAGATTAGCTCAAAAGTGTACCACATGAAAATCGCACAGCAATGTACCGTACATCTTCAGGTATTACAAAAACACCCTGACAGACATTTCTAGTGGTGGGGTACCCCTGACAGAGCTATGTAATTGCCAGACATTTGTAGTGATGGAATATCCCTGACAAGAGGGAGTATAAAAAATTGACAAAACAAATATTTCTTAGGCTAATGCTAATAATGTTTATTTCTTATGCTATATATTCCTTATTCTAAATATTTCTTACAAATGCCATACATTTCTTATATCTTATGCCAATAATTTATGCTAAATATTTCTTATACTGTATATTTTTGGACTAATAACATAATATTCAGTTCCTCGTCCATAGTACAGTACAGTCTGAACGACTAGACAAGTCTGTTCCTGGCCAGGCTCGCCTTCCTTCACTGACTTTTACCACTGACAAATGGAATGCAAGTCAGGGAGCCACCTTCATACTCACTGACCCACTGCAGGTCCGCCTGAATTATGTACCGGTCTTACAAAACAAAAAGATTGATGAATACTTACTGTTAAAAGGACTTCTCTGTTGTTTTAATTGTTTTTTTTCACATGAAGTTTTCTATTTTGTGAATTTACATGAAAGTTCCAAATCATTACTTTTCTCTCAAGCTTTATTCCATTTCTGAAAAACAAATGAAATGAAATGAAATGGGGTTTAACATCCTACTGTTCTACTCCACCTGAGCTAATGAAGACAGGCATACTCCATTCAGCATGCTTTGAGGGAAATTTTGCCCAGACAGCGGTGTTACGGCCTACTCTTATAACGAATTCCAATTGCCAAGGAATGTTTTACGTGCATGCCAATGTTTGCACTGGAGCTTGGTTTTTAGTCCCATGCGAATGACTAGACAGCTGTCCTTGTCAGGTCCTACGTCCTGCACCAACATCAGGAGTGAATCCACAACCTCCAGGCTAGCGAGCCAGCGTCTTACACACCTAGCCACCACGGAAATTCTTGCTCACAAGATTCGATACTGAACAAATAATAAAATGTCTAAAACTTCCACTTATATATAGAGAGAAATGTAGGCCTATCTCTTTGGGAGTATGAAAGAGAAAGAAATGAGCTTTAACGTCCACTTGACACAAACTAGGCCATTTTAGGACTAAGATATGGTTCAATTTTATTTCAATAATTTGCTTGCATGTAGCGGTTTTTAGCAGTGGGAGGAAACCCACAAGTTTGGAGAGGCGACACTACTGCTTGTCACATTCAAGCTGGGAATCAAAACCATGGGACTTGACTCAATGACAGACCTTGTGATTTCACCACTAGAAGAACACCACCACATCCCCCAACCTATATAGAGCAGGTTACATATCAATATATACATGGGACTTGACTCAATGACACCCCTTGTGATTTCACCACTAGAAGAACACCACCACATCCCCCAACCTATATAGAGCAGGTTACATATCAATATATACATGGGACTTGACTCAATGACACCCCTTGTGATTTCACCACTAGAAGAACACCACCACATCCCCCAACCTATATAGAGCAGGTTACATATCAATATATACATGGGACTTGACTCAATGACACCCCTTGTGATTTCACCACTAGAAGAACACCACCACATCCCCCAACCTATATAGAGCAGGTTACATATCAATATATACATGGGACTTGACTCAATGACACCCCTTGTGATTTCACCACTAGAAGAACACCACCACATCCCCCAACCTATATAGAGCAGGTTACATATCAATATATACATGGGACTTGACTCAATGACACCCCTTGTGATTTCACCACTAGAAGAACACCACCACATCCCCCAACCTATATAGAGCAGGTTACATATCAATATATACATGGGACTTGACTCAATGACACCCCTTGTGATTTCACCACTAGAAGAACACCACCACATCCCCCAACCTATATAGAGCAGGTTACATATCAATATATACATGGGACTTGACTCAATGACACCCCTTGTGATTTCACCACTAGAAGAACACCACCACATCCCCCAACCTATATAGAGCAGGTTACATATCAATATATACATGTAACTGATCAAGCCAATTCAAAGTTTGAGAAATATTTCCCCTTTTTCTTATTGTCTCCCCTTATTGTTAGTTTGTTTTCATTTTGTGTGAAGCCTGTATCGCAACAGGCCAGAGACTGTACAGTGCAGTGAACATTTACATCTAGCCCCTGGATCCATTCACATTTATTTCTGATATATCTACATTTGTTGTTTGAGGTGTCCATAGGGTTAGTCTTGCGTAATTATTTATGTGTGGTGGGGTGTGGTCTCCCCTCAAGGAGACCCTGGGTACATATTCACCAAACCATAACTTTAATGTTTGCATTACATAATAGCTTAACAGTATACATAATTCTCGAGGCATTAATCATTTTCTATTCAGTAATCTCCATTTTCCTAATTCTAAAATGATTTGTGCAATGACATCCTGCTAAAAAGAAACCTTGTCTTGCTAGCAGTAGGTTGAAAACATGTCTGCAGATACGTATTTTATCCCAATCTGTTACACAGAGTATTACGAAAGTCTTCTAATATCTCTATAATTGATGACTGCTTACAACACATGACGTCATATCATGCGGTGTCAATCATTGGCTCAATTGTGCTTGCATTGTTTACATAAAATGTTACGGATTCGAGCAGAATGGCGCCTTTTATTCATTTTAATACCCATTTACACTAAAATAGGAAGTAATTATTACCAACAAATACTTCAAATATCTTTATTTATTTTTCTACTACATAAAAAAAAATATTTTAGAATTTAATATGTTGGAGGAAAAAAGTTAATATTTGTGGCTCATTAAGTCGCATCGATGTCATCCTTATCAGTGATTGTTGCGGCCTAGCGAATATTCACTGCGGATCAGTGTGACATCATCCTGTAAATTTTATATCAATGTTATCAAATAATACAACTACTCAAGGGTAAAATAATATAACATACATGTAGTTTGCTTCTACACCTGGAGACACAGTGGCTTAATGAGTAAAACTCTGGCTCACTAAGCAGGAAGTTTTGGGTTTGCTTCCAGTGTTGGCCATGAAAGTTCCTTAGGATTCTCCGATGTGGTTTCCCCTCATCAGTGGTGCAGGACGGAGTGTCTGACAAGGAACAGTGTTTAGTCAGTCGGATAGGACAAAAAACTGATGTCACGCGTACACATTAGAATGTGCATAAAAGAACCTTTGACAGTTGTAATTCTAAATAGATTAGGCCTTAGCACCGCTGTCTGGACTAAGTTTAACCTCTTAACACACTATATGGTGTATTCCTATCTTTATTAGAGCAGTCTGTGCAGAAAAGTAGGTTGTTCATTCACTGCCTCCACACCTAGAAATAAATCACAGTTGTAATTCTAAATAGATTAGGCCTTAGCACCGCTGTCTGGACTAAGTTTAACCTCTTAACACACCATATGGTGTATTCCTATCTTTATTAGAGCAGTCTGTGCAGAAAAGTAGGTTGTTCATTTCACTGCCTCCACACCTAGAAATAAATCACCTGTAAAAGACTTCGTCAGACACAGTCCCCCAGGTGCCTATCATTTCTATCTAGCACAGGTTTGTCTTTTATCAGTATAATAATGCATTTACAGATTGACGTGCAATACATGTACATGAGATGTTTTGTGAGTTTTCCAATAGTTCAGCGGACAAACAAGGTCTTGGTGTGTTTGGAAAAAGTCGCTTTTCGTTGGCTGTTTAAAGTTATACAGTAAGCACTGGACCAATGATAAAACTTATTAGATATCAAATAAAATCTAAATATACAATGACAGAAAACAAAAAATCCAAATGAAATGAATTGGCGTTTAACGTCCTGCACCAGGGACCGAACATGCGACCACCAGGCTAGCGAAAGAGCGTCCTATCCACTTAGCCACCGTGGCCCCCCAAAAAGAGTGTGTATACATTACCTCCTGCATGAATTAATATATAACAGCAGCAAGACTCACTAAGCCAATTTTCATGTAACAATATATACCACGAAAATAGCTTCTGAACTTCTTAAAGGAAGTGGTATCAAGTGTTCTGGCTCATGTCACATGCATGAACTTCCATGTAGCAATAGAACTAACAAATAGAAGTCAACATCCTCATAAGAATTGAGCTTAAAATGATCTAACAATCTCATTCGTTCATCTTATATACATGTATATCGTCAGCTAAGTTTATAGAGTCAAACAAACATTCTGAATAATTTATTGAATAAATGTTATTTACTTATTAGGGGCTGTATATATGACTATATGTAATTTATTCCACGATTAACAGACCAACAGCTCAGCTCACCGAATAATACAGAACTTGGTTAATTTCATTGATCGGGTAATGACCCAAGCGAAGGCACCGCCCCCACCAGCTTGTTAGTGATGTGGCTGGTGGTATAATATAATCAATACGAGAATGGATTTCTGTATGATGATTCACAACAGACCAGCTACAACTAGTGTCAAGTATTTACTACGCAGTGTACACACACTTAACGCAGTTTAAACTTATTGCATTAACAATTACATTGTACAATAGGCTTACATGAGGATTAGATAAAAGTCGTCTTCTTATAATGAAATGGTGTTTAACATCTGAGACAGTCGTGTGTTACAGCTTACTCTTCTTATATCGAATTCCATCTGTCAAGGGTTCTTTTACGTGCACGCCAATGTGTACACTAGACCTCTGCGTTGACCCTTGGCAGGCCCTCTGTCCTGCACCACTGACATGGGGGAACCATCCTGATAAACTTTCTTGGCCATGTCAACAATGACCGACTAAAAGATGAGGGCAACATTGACATACGAGAGAGAGAGAGAGAGAGAGAGATGGGGTTTAAGTCAACTCTTCTCTACAGATACATCCTTGTTTGGGAGTATATCAGGATGTACATTCCACCAGGAAGAATAGACATAGATAACATGTAAACAGGAGTCGATTCTCCATAAACTTCACACCCCATGACATTGCAATATTTTACACATGACATAAGGACGCTAATATTGTTGTTCATTGTGGTTTGTCTATGCTCACTTCCCTTTCATACATACATACATGTATAGTTATAGTAGGGGAGGGTGGTGTGCATGATGCAGTATATGCTTGCTGATACTACATGTACATGGATATTGGAATGTCACAACCAAGTAAAACCGACAGATTTTACCCTGACAAAGATTTAACATCAAGACATTCTACTATTGAGTCACATTTAACCACACCCCAAATTCAGAAAGATAGTCAAAGGATTACCAAGTACATAAAGGTCAAATTATCTTTTCAATTACTACTGACATATATTTCCAAGCTTTACAAAAACCTAGTCAAATAAAGCAAACATTATAACTGAAATGAAAAGGGGTTTTAATGCCCTAGTTTTCTGCTCCGACTGGGCTAATGGAGACAGACATAAGCCATATAGTGTGCTATGAGGGGATTTAGCCCAGACAGAGGCACTAGGCCTACTCTTATTTCGAAATCCAACTATTATGGGTTCTTTTACGTGCATGCCAATGTGTACACAGGACCTCAGTTTTAAGTCCCTTCCAAACGTCTAGACAGTCTTTGGCATGCCCTCAGTCCAGCTCCACTGACATGTGGAAACCACACTGTA